CAAATTGGATGTCAGGTTTATCATCTTGTTGCACAGCTTCCATCCTCATCGGCCACCCTTATGACATAGGCCTTTTCCATAGCGACCTGCCTTGCCATACGAATGTAGTTTATGTCGCCCAAGGCTAATGCCTTATCCATTAACACTCCTGCTCTACACCACTCATTGTATTCACACTGGTTACGCTGCTTAGTCAACTCACGCTTGGTCCAAACACTCCTTCGTTCAATGTCATCTATGAACAGCGGTCCCAAATCTGTTCCGTAACCAAGAGGCTTCCTTTCTCACACATAACTTGGTGAAAAATCTTGACCCATTAAGCCTTGTTTGCCGTAAGCACCTAGTGAATTTTCACCCATAACTGGACGTTGTGCCCTATCACCTGTTCACAAGGCTTCTAGTTCTTCCGACAGTGTATCATCCTGGCTTCCCACAAGCTGCGGCCGAGTTTCCTTTGCCTTACCGGTCACACCTGCATCCTCAACAGACTCTTCTGGGCCCAAACGGTTACGACTTTCTTTTAATAACCTGGACACGATCTTCTGTTTTTGGCCCATTTCCGACAGACCCATTCCACGACAAACAAATCTTAATGCTTCAACTGACAAACGATTAAGGTTCGACTTCAAACTTGTTTGGGTTATATCTGAAGTTACCGAATCGTTCGACATAGTAGACTCTGGCTCCTTGTTCACGGCCGACATTGATCTTGGACAAGTAATTTTACTTTTGCGTAAAAAACATCAAAGCGAATATCGCCAAGAAGATTGTTTATGATTTAAGTAACGTATTCGTTTATTATTAGTATATAAGAAGTTGGTCTCAACTGGTAGCTTATGCTCAACGCAACAACCAGGTATGCACAAATCTTTTATTATTATTAAAAAGTTTTATTATTTCCTATTTTTTTTATTTTTTTTTTTGTAAACGACACTAACTATGTATAGAAGAGTTTGAGAAAAGAAACTGCAAAGAATTGTGTACGTAAAAATTTTGCACGAAAAAACCAGACAAAGTCGGGTTAGCAGAAAAAACAGAAATTATCTTGTCTGGGAAAAAACCATTCCCTTTAAGTATACTCTAACGATTACAAATCAGAAAAACTACGTAATTACGTTATTACTCTAATAAACTATAACGACGTAATTACGTCGCTACTATAACTGACTCTAACGATCACCAGATCAAAAAAATTACGCAATTAATTAAACCGATACTCCCACGATTACTAATCGAAAATACTACACAATACAAATGAAAAACTACGTCATTTCGCTACAAATGTTTGCATAATACGCCTCTACTTATCAAGCAATAGATCATAATAACACAATAATCATTCGATCAATTAATTAGACTCCGTGTTCGATTCGAGAC